TAAAATAAAATAAAATAAAATAAAATAAAATAAAATAAAATAGTAGCATGCTATACTGTTGTCACAAGACATTTTATTAAATGTTTATTTAAGTAAATATGTCCAATTATCATGTCAGGTAAAATTAAATTAAATTAAATAATAAAAAAGTAGCATGCTATAATATTATTATATTAAAATTTATGCTATTTTCTTTTTGTTAATTCAGTAAATATGTCCAATTATCATGTCAGGTAAAACAAAATAAATCATTAAAAGAGTGTTATGTTATATTTCTATGAAGTAAGTAGGAATCTGTGGCGTCTGACAGCACCTCGTGCACCAGTTCTCCGTTTTCGGCGTGGACGCGAGCGACGGCTCCGATGTTCTTACAGGTGTGCATCGCCTGATAGAGCTCCGAGTCCTTCAGCATCAGCACATCTTTATACGCCATGAACATCTGGAAGGAGTTAACGCCTTTCTCTCCCACCAACACCTCCATCTCCCTGCGCACCTGAATCAAATCAAATAAAACCAGTTCAAACAACCAGTCAAGAAAATCTCAATAAATACATGAAATTAAAAGAAAATTGCATGAATCAAAAAAAAAAAATTATAATAAAATTGCAGTATGCTACACCGTTGTCGCATGATTTCAATTCAATACATTTTTATTGTCCAGTTATCATCTTATGTAAAATATTAAATTAAATTAAATTAATCAGCAATATGCTACACTTTTCAATGTTTAATTCAACAAGTATGTCCAATTATCTCAGGTAAAATAAAATAAAATAGTAGCATGCTATACTGTTGTCACATGACATTTTTGCAATTAGCAATTATGTCCAATTATCATCTCAGGTAAAATAAAATAAAATAAAAAGACGATAAGTTAAGATTAAAAAAAAAATAATAATAATAATATTGTACAGTAATCAATGTAATGTATTCCAGACACATTGTGTGAATTCTGAGCACATGTAGTACCTTCGGTCCCCACCAGGTGACGCCCACGTGCAGCGCGTAATCGCAGCAGGCTTCTGCGTCGGCGTGAGCGCGGATCTTCTCAAACTCCTCCAGCAGCGACGCGTCTCTCTCGGGCAGAACGTGAGCGATCACCATCGTCGAGCCGCCCAACAGCGCCGCCTACAGACGGAGACAGAAATGAGCACGAGTGACACTGATGGAGAACCACAAACCAGTGCTTACTGTCAGACAGGAGTGTGTGTGTGTGTGTGTGTGTTTATGTGTGAGTCAGTGTGTGAGTGTGTGAGTCAGTGCGTGAGTGTGTGTGTGTGTGTGTGTGACCTTGGTGCCGCTGTAGAAGTCGTCCTGTGTGTTTGCGTTCATGAAGGTCTGCTGCAGGTGAACGCTGGAGTCGATGCCGCCTGGAATCACCAGCTTCCCGGACGCGTCAATCACTTTGGCTCCGCCCGGAACCACCAGATCCCACCCCACCTGCTGGATGAGCCCGCTCTCGATGTAAACATCCGCCTCCTGAGTAACATCATCATTAACGACCCGCCCGCCTTTAATGAGAATCCTCACGGAGCTCGAGCCAGCGGCCATTATACTGGACAGAAGAAAATATATCATTCAGATTTAATTTTAATAATTGTAATAAATATTAATACATTTAAATTTAATTCAGTATTATTAATTATCAATATTAATTATTATTAAATAATTAACTTTAATTTGTATACATTTTAATCAATTTAATATTAATAATAATAATTCCATTATTTCATTTAATTATAATAAATTTGTACCATCACATTTGTTTTAGTGTATGAATATTTTGTTTCATTTTAATATAAATGTGCTGTATTAATTAATAATATTAATAATTATTACATAATTCAATAAAGCCTACTAGATTTGTACATTTCATTAAATTTTATTCCATTTAATATTAAGTCTTTATTAATATAATAATATCATATTTAATAATATAAAAATTGTTTTATGTAAATTTTTTGATGTGTCACCACCAGTATATGAATATTTTAATAATATTAATAATTATCAAAAACTTAAATGTATTTAAAAAATAAATGTATTAAATTATTACTTTAATTAAATTTTAATACATTTAATATGAATAAGAATTTAACCGTTTTATTTAAATTTAATTAATTGTTATACCACCAATTTTCATTGTATGAATATTTTGTTTTACTATAAATGTGCAGTATTATAAATGACTGATTAAATGTATTACATTTTAATAAACCTAATACATTTTAATTAATATAATATTAATAATTATTTTTAATACATACATAATACTTTTAATACATACGTTTCACCACCCAGTTTTTTCTGTTTTTGAATATTTTGTTTTACTTTAATATAAATGTGCAATGTTATTAATTATTAATATTGATAATTATCACATTTGAATATAAACACCCTGAGAATCCATATCCGGGCGAGTGCCTTCATATCTGGTGCAGGACCGATGTATATTTTACTGAAGCTGTTCCATTATTCACTGAGCAGAAAACACACAGCTTAATTTCACTCGATTCCACTCGCATCAGAAGGTTTTGATATTAAAAGCATCACACCCCCATTAAATGCATAAACATCTATAAATACACTGCTGTCCTGTAAGAGCGCTGTATGTGTGGAAAAATAGGTCATCCTTCATTTTTAAGTTGCACATGCATTATTGTTCAGCTTGCACTCACACTCACACACACACACTCACACACTCACACACACACACACACACACACACACTCACACACTCACACACACACACACACACACACTCCCCCAAGGCTGTGACTAATGCACATTTATCATGCAAATCCCCAGCAGGAGTGTGTGATGACATCAGTGATGATCAGTGTGTGATCATGCGTGTGTGTGTGTGAGTGTGTGTGAGTGAGTGAGTGAGTGTGAGTGTGTGTGTGTGTGTGTGTGTGAGTGTGTGTGTGTGATGTGAGGCGAGGAGACACATGCGTCTGCCTGTGCTTACATCACTCTGTGTCTGTGTGTGTGTGTGTGTGTGTGTATGTGTGTGTGTGTGAGTGTGTGTGTGTGATGTGAGGCGAGGAGACACATGCGTCTGCCTGTGCTTACATCACTCTGTGTCTGTGTGTGTGTGTGTGTGTGTGTATGTGTGTGTGTGTGAGTGTGTGTGTGTGATGTGAGGCGAGGAGACACATGCGTCTGCCTGTGCTTACATCACTCTGTGTCTGTGTGTGTGTGTGTGTGTGTGTATGTGTGTGTGTGTGAGTGTGTGTGTGTGATGTGAGGCGAGGAGACACATGCGTCTGCCTGTGCTTACATCACTCTGTGTCTGTGTGTGTGTGTGTGTGTGTGTATGTGTGTGTGTGTGAGTGTGTGTGTGTGATGTGAGGCGAGGAGACACATGCGTCTGCCTGTGCTTACATCACTCTGTGTCTGTGTGTGTGTGTGTGTGTGTGTATGTGTGTGTGTGTGAGTGTGTGTGTGTGATGTGAGGCGAGGAGACACATGCGTCTGCCTGTGCTTACATCACTCTGTGTCTGTGTGTGTGTGTGTGTGTGTGTATGTGTGTGTGTGTGAGTGTGTGTGTGTGTGATGTGAGGCGAGGAGACACATGCGTCTGCCTGTGCTTACATCACTCTGTGTCTGTGTGTGTGTGTGTGTGTGTACTTGCAGAAATGATTGTGATACTCACAATGCAACATCAAAAACATGTGGCTTGTTCCCAGCTTTTAGGAAATAATCTTAGGGGCCGTTCACACAGAAAGCGCCTTTGTGCCTAAAAACGTGAGACGCGGCACTCAGGAATGGTTTTAAACAAAGCCCAGCACAAAACACCTCCTCTGTCGTGTTAGCATCAAATAAAACAGTTGCCATTCCAACCTGCTATACTCTAAACAAAAGCCTGCAATGCTAGCTCCGCCTCTGGGGTCTTCTGATTGGTCCACTGTTCTGGAACTGACATTGATGAGCGGCGCTGTGTGTACAAATTTTAATTCTTTTAACTTTTAAGACATGGCGTCTTTAATGCTCATGTGTGAGACGCCGCAAAAGACGTGAGATGTGAGCGCAAAGGTCAAACACGTCCGTCTAGTGTTGGCATAGAAAGACAGTGGAGAAGTAGCACATTGGAACGGAAAAACGCATTCTGTGTGAACAGCCCCTCAGAACGTTCCAGCAAAGTTCTCTCAATGTTCTGAACAAACGTTTTTCCAGCAAGGTTAATCTATCTAGATGTTATCTAATCTTTAACAACCTTCTCAAAGCGTTAGCACGAAATATTTCAGCTGAATGTTCGTTTTTTAAATGTTACTACTTGCTTCAAAGAATGCTCAAAAGTGACGTTCCCATAATGTTTGTGAAATTAGTATTGTTAGTATTAATTAGTACAATTAGCATGGCCCCGCCCCTAACACTATAATAACTAGAGTGCATTAGCATCAGAGGTGTGCGAGTTACTGTCATTACCGTTAGTTATTACAGCTTACAGTTTGCAAGCTATGCCTTCATCACATAAATGCATATTACCTAGTAGCAATAATTTTCAAAACAGCTCGGTCTCCTTATTTAAATGTATTTGTATTTGATACTTGAGAGAGACGGCAGCTTTCCCGCGAGTGGGCGTGGTTTCGGCGCCGGCGGACACGCCCCCAGCGTCTGCTTATTCTTTCAAGATTTTGATACCTTCCTTTATTTACTTGGCGGTTTTTAATAATTAAAATTTGGCTGGGTAGTTAAAAACACGTTTTTTTCTGTGGTGTGACAAACCCAGAACGCGTTTAACATTGCTTTAGAGTACAAAAAAATATATTTTTGTTAGCCGGTTTAGTCCTGTATTGTAAGCAACTGTTTTTCATAGCTGTACACTACATGTTCCTCTATTCTATTCTATTCTATTCTTCAGCTGTTTCTCTGTGCTATCCGTCTAATCAGTGTTGAATTCAATCACAACAGAGCAGGTTTCGGACGATAACACACTGATTATTTAGTTTTCTAGCCTCACATATAATGAGAATAATCTGTGGAACAGCCTTCAAAACAAACAGACACACAGAGGAGGAGGATGATGAAGATGAGGGTGGTGTTTCCACACGTTTGTGGCTCTATAACTATCAGCATCTCTCTTTTCCTCTATGCCTCCATCTCTAGCATTATATTATCATATATTACCTGCATTATAATATTAGCCCAACAGGCCTGTTTAAACCTATACTCTTATTATAAGAATGCTCTAGTATTATTAATATCAAACAGTTCTCTCGTTCTGCCAGAGCTGCCTTTAAATGCATAACATTAGAACACAAAAAAGCCACAAAAATAAATAAATAAATGACAAAACCGACAAATAAACCCAAAATATTACATATCATACATATTACTCATTGCATACGTATTTCACACGGACGAGGCTAAAACAGACTCAGATGTGCGCAAATTGTGTTATATTAATTATAAAACGCTGACGTACCGTAAGCGAAGGTATCTGATGTGTTTGCTCCTGTTGTGCTGCCGCTCCGCTCCGCCCACTCTTTGATTGACAGACGAGAGGACCAATGAGAGGCTGGGGAAAAAACTGGCAGTAAAAAGTGACAACTAGCCACAAACTCACAACATTAGTAAGTTTTGTTGTTAATGTTACAAATGTAGCGTCTTTTAAATAAAACACGTGAGAATTGCGATGTTTGAGGTTTTTATTATCAATAAGTCTAGTCATTGGCATACTTCTCTGTTCATAAAATGACATAAAACAGAGTGGTTGCACCACATATTGATAAGCATTTATCACATTTAAATTAATGTACAGCTAGTATACAATCCCATGAGCGGAAAACATCTGAGGGACATCAAGAATAAAAATCAGAATGATGCATTAAACACATGCAAATATTCGTTACAATAATTAAAACATGGATAAACAACAACTTGACAGGAAATTGTTTTTCGATATCAGCCTTCTGTGAAATTGGCACTGGTGTGAAATATTGTGCATTAAGAGGGTCTGACATCTGTTAATCATATTAATAAATATTGATCACTTATATCAACACAGCATCTGTTTTACAGTTTTTTTCAGCTGCTTACACACGTTCAAATCCAAGAATTGCACACACAAAATGCAAAATGCCTCACATCTCTATGTGTCTATTTCACAAAATGAAGCAAAAGCAAACATTTGCAAACACCTTTGCCATAAGATTAATTCCTGTTAGATTTGTGTGTGTTGCATAGAGAATTGAGTGTTGCGTTTCGCAAAAATTGTTTTATGAAATTGAAAACTGAGTCAAAGGCTGAGTAGTTTTAGTGTAGACAGTGTGACAAGTAAAGATTTTGTGTGTGAGCAGTTGAATAAATCTGTAATATCAACACAACAGTAATGAAAGCGTCCGTGAAAACCATTGGACGGCTTTGGTCATGTAGAACACAGGTAATATTTTTAAGATATTACCATGGTAATACAATTCTATTATAATTTAATGTGCGTTTTAAAATGCACCATCCCTATATTTTAGACATTTTACCATGGTAATAAGTTTTTGACACTAATAGCATAGTATGTTTGAAGTACCACGTCAGGAATATAGTAATATTTCAGTACCATGGTAAACAATCAGTCGAAGGTTTGGACACCGACTCGATGTGTAAAGTCGTGATGAAATGTAAGTAGTGACAGATTTGAGTAAAAAAAAAAAGTAGGGTGGGACTTGGTTCTATGCATCATTTGTTGATTGGATGTTGAGATGTGGGCGTGGCACTTTAAAAAGTCCTGCATAAAGGTTTGACATTTTTGTTAAACATTACAACGTCAAAACTTTTTAAGAATGAAACATATGCACGGATGATTTGCTATAACATGCATTTAGAAAACATGGTGATATTCTATTTCATGCCGACTTTAACTATGAAATAACTCAAATGTGAATACGCAAAAACTACATCATTCATTATGTGATGACTTTTATGCAGAAAATTCCACCAATCAGAGAGCCGACAAAAAAAAACCTCATTAGCTCCGCCCACTCAGTGAAACTCCGCGAATGATGGAAGTCGCCCTCAAAATATGCATATTTCATGCATATATGTGCATATTTTTCAGTAAACCTAAAATATACCGTTTCTATAAGCATAATCAACAACTTTAAATTAATAGTTTCATATTTCACGATCGTTTTTAATTTGATTATTCTTCGCAATGCCTCATTTCCCTCATTCAAGCCGTTTTCCGCAGCCTTGTCTTCTTATCCGATTTATAAATGCTTTTTTGCTTAAAATTAAAAGTGTGCAATGCTGATTCTTCTCGAAGCTGGTTGGTTTGGTTCATGACTTATAATGCTTTAACAGAGACTTTTTACAAATCCCTATGGGAAAAATACATCTGAAAGCAAAACTGGCTAGTATTTGAGGATGCTTATAAACACGTATAAATGTATATCATCAGCAGGTTTCCATCACTATCTGCTCTAAAATTAACTCGATGTTCAAACCTCTGGTCGTGTATTTTTGCTGATATGTGTTCTGAATCGAATCTTCAAACATCATCCACCATTTGGCCAATAACTGAAGAGTTTCTCAAATGAACCACAAAGAGTTAAAAAGCAAGTTCTAAGCAGATTCTGATCGTTCGACACTCATATTCCTGAAAATACAGTTTCTAAACTTCTGAGGATCCACAGAACTCAAAATACTGACGTGTGTGTGTGCGTGCGTGCGTGCGTGTGTGTGTGTGTGAGAGAGTGAGTGAGTGAGAGTGAGTGAGTGAGAGTGAG